GAGGAGAAGGAGGAGAGGGGCAGGGAGGGATGGAGGAATGGTCTGTCTGTCTTCCTTTTAATCATCTCAGCCATTTTAAGCGTCTAGCACAGTAGCAGTGGCTGTGTCCATATCGCTGGGCAGCAGCTGTCCACAATTTTCCTTCTTGCAAAACTGACTCCCTATCCATTGAACATCTCCGCTTTCCCCTTCTCCCAGCCCCTGGCAACCTCCATTCTATGTCCTGTCTCTAAGAATTTGACTATTTTGGATCCCACAAATAAGTAGAATTTCGCAGTCTTTGTCTCTTTGTGACCAGATTATTCCACTGATCCTAATGTGCCCAAGGTTCATCCATGTTACAGCAGGTGTCAGAATTTCCCTCTTTCCTTCCACCTCTGGGCCATTGTGAATAATGCTGCAGTGAGCATGGGTGTGCAGATACCTCTTCCAGATCCTTGCCAGTGCTTTTGGATACACACTCAGCAGCGGGGCCGCTTCTAGTTTGTGGTGGTGGTGGTGGTTTTGAGGGCTCCCCGTGCTGTGTGCATAATGCCTGCACTGCTCCACACTCCTACCGGCAGTGCACAGGAGTTCCGATTTCACCGCATCCTTGCCCACCCTTGGTATCTTCCGTTTTGCTTTGTTTTTGTAGCAGCCGTCCTAGTAGGCGGGAGGCGCTATCTCGCGGCGGTTTGATTTGCGTTTCTCCAGTGGTTAGTGAGCTGGGTGCCTTTTCATGTGCTTGTGGACCACTTGTATCTCTTCTTCAGAGGAATGTTCAGTTCCTTTGCCTATTTTAAAATTGAGTTGTTCTTTCTGTTGAATTGTCGTTCTTTATGTGTTTTGGTTTGGTGTGTTTTAAGGGGGGAGGGAGAGGTAATTAGATTGATTTATTTCTTTTTAGAGGAGGTGCTGGGTTTGAACCCAGGACCTTGTGTATGCTAAGCATGTGCTCTACCACTTGAGCTATACCCTCCCCCTGTATTTTGGATATTGACCCCTTATCAGATATATGACTTGCAAATACTTTCTCCCTTCCTAGGTTGCCTTTCGTTGTGTTGCTTCTTTCCTCTGCAGCACAGAAGTTTTAAATTTTGATGTAATCCCATTGGATGATTTTTGCTTTTGCTGCCATAGAAAACCTTTTACGCAAATCTTTCCAAGATGACTTCTGTCTGGGTTACAAAGCGGAGGAAGGCCAACTGACGAAGGAGCAATCCCATTTCATCTACATCCTAGCCATTTCTGCACTTTTCAGGCTCCGAGTATTAAAGGTGCCTCATCAGGGCCTCAGACCCTGGGCCAGAGCTCCACCAGGGCTGGACAGGTGGTGGTGGGCTGTCGGCTGGAGGGCGCCCAAGGATTGGTTTCTTCGTCACAAAAAGGGCTTTAACCACATCCTTTTGCACTTGCTGGGGATACTGGCACAGGACAAGGTGCCCTTTCTGACAATGGAGGACAATTCCCCCATTAGGGTGAACACAGCGAGCTGAGGGTCTCACCCTGGATGGCAGGGGTCAGGTGGGGTTCCCAGAGGGCAGGGTCCTCTTTGGGGGGGACCCTCGCTGGGTCTGCGGGGTGCACACCGCTTGGGTAGGGAGTGGGGAGACCCGGCCAGGCACCCGCGGCTTCACCACCAGAGGCCTGTGGGGCCGTCCGAGGGCCAAGCCTGGGCTTGTCTGAAAACAGTACCTTCGTCCCCCTCTGGACTCTGCTGGGTGGACCTGAAGCTGGTCCTGGAAACCAGGTGCTGGAGGCTGCAAAGCCTATCTTCCCCGGCGCAGGGTCTGTGCGTGGGAGGCTGGGGGAGACACGCCCCAGCGGCAGGCAGAGCAGGGCTGGCGGCTGTTCATTAGGCGGAATGAATTGTTCGTTGTGCCCAGAGTGGGTGAGGATGAGCCAGTGATTATATTTAAATTTGCTATAATTGATTTGGGGAAGAGCTACTGTGACAAGAACGAATTGATCATTAAATTTATTAGCGAGATAAATTCCGTCGCGATTAAGCAGCTGGCTGGAGACGCTGGGGCCTCGGGCGGGTCCTGCTTCCCCAGCCGCTAAGTCCCCGCGCCAAACCGGGGCTTGCTCTGCTGGCGACCGGGGGCGAGGGTCACAATAATTTTATCTTCCTTCAGTGCTCCTTTTCCCCTTGTCCCCAAGGGAGCCAACAACTCTCGGGGTTCGGGAGGGTCTACACCTGGGGTGAAGGGACAGGACGTCCTCTAGGGTTGGAAGCACCCCCCCCACACCCCGCTCCAAGCCGGAAGCTACACCCCTCCCAGGCCAGCCTGCCTGGTCCCTGGTGGGCCCAGTATTGAGGTGGGAGCACTGGGGCTGGGCCGGCTTAGCAGGGGGGTGCGGGGGAATAACCCCCAGATGTGGAGCCAGCCGGAGAAGAGATTGCTTCAGGCTGAACTTCACCAATGTGGTAGAAATTAAAACGAGATATACACAGATTGCAGCTTTGTTAAACCCCCAAAGCATCTGTCTTTCTCCTCTCCCACTCCCCACCCCCTCTCTCTAATTTTCCCACCCCTCTCCTCGGGCCTTCGGGCTTTCCCACCAGTTGCAAACCCAGTCCCGGTTCCCCCAAAGCACCTTTGGACCCCGAGGCGGCCGAGGCCCGCGCCCTGCCGCCCGCGCCCAACAGCTGCTCTCGCCCGGGCTCCCAGCAGCGCCGCGCCCCCGGCCTTGGCTGAGGTTGGATTTTATGGAAGGAGCCCGGGGTGATAATGAGCTGCCAGAGAGGATATTAATCTCACCCGGGCCCTGAAGTAGAGGAGTGGCCGCGCTCGCCCGGGCGGTAATCACCCAAATGAAACTGCAGGCCCTTCTGAACTCATTTATCAGCTGGGAGTAGGGGGAGGCCAGGGGGAAGCGGGAGGGGAGGGGGAGGGGCCCTCACCCCAGCCCAGGTGCTGGTGAAAAAGTGAAACAGAAGGATGGAGGAAGGCACGGGGGAGGGAGAAAGAAGCGGTGTCCCCGATCACCTATTTCCTCCGGGCCCAGGAGAGGCCCCGGGGTCAGAGCCGGGGGAAGGGGAGCCGCCCGCAGGGAGGGCGAGCGCGGAGGCCGGGGCGGCGGGTTGAGCGGGCATGTGTGCAGCACATGGCGGCGGCCGGGCTCGGCCCGGGTGATTGATGGCGCGCGCGGCCGCCGTTTATTAACCCGGAGCCGTTGCAGCTCCGGCGTGAAGCGTTCCTGTCGCCCGCTGTTGTCCTCGCGGACATTCGCGCAGATCCAAGAAAACCGGCCCTGGCCAGCGCGAGGAAGGGTGTTCTGCGAAGGCCCGCGGCGAGGAGAAACGCTCCGCGCTCTCGGAGACCGTCCCGGAAAGGTGCGGAGGTAGCGCCCCGGGCCGTGCGGGCCGGAAGACCAGGGAAGTCTAGTCTTCGGAAGCTTGTCTTTTGAAACGAATAGTGTGTTTCCACTTCTGGAATGCCAGTGAAGCAAGAAGATCCTCAGAGAAATAGGAAAAGAAATACACGGAGTCCAAGGCTACTTTTTTGAACTTCTCGCATCTGGGACCGATGCTAGCCTGGCCCCCGCTGACACCTGGACTCGGGTATTTTTAAGCACGCTTCCAACCTGCGACTCCCCAGCGGCCGGAATCCAGTTCCCCACCGGCCGCAGGGCCCAGAGGAGGGCGCGGTGCTGATACCCATTGCCATTCTGATCGCTGTCGGCTGAGGAAGACACCCCACCCCATCACTTTAACCACAAACATTGTGAAGCCTGATTTCACAACTCCCACTGAAAGATTTGCACCCTCGTCCAGTAAAAAACCAATTTATTTTACATTCCATCATGGGCGATGGGAGAAGCTAAATGATAATTTAGCATGCGCAAGTAGACCTTTCTTTATATATATACACATATAAATACAATATACAAAAATAAAGACAGTACAGTTTTGGGATTTCCAGCAGTTTGAATGCTCATGACATAAAGTTCCCCCCCACCCCAGATACATAAGCACGAAACATTTTTTTCTTTTTTCAATACTCAGAAGAATGGCGTTTCCAGAGAAGGTTTCAAGTTTCAGGAGGTCGCTTAACACTGTAGATCTCCGCCTTCTCCGTTCAGAAGAGGGGAGTCAGGAGGCTGCCCCCGTGGTCGGTTCTTCTCGCAAACACCTCCTCCCAGCGCTAACCAAATTAAATTCGAAAGAATAGGAGTTCTAGTTGGAACCTGCTGGGCCTCCCTCTTTCCGTCCCTGCAGACAGGTGCCG